GTACAATCCAGTCACTTAAAGGACTATATATACAAATATAGGCAGTAATGTCTCGTTGGGTCTATTATGTAAATGTTTATTTCCTGCATCTTCACTTTGTCATTTCATTTCAAGGTGGGTGGGCTTGAGTCTATATCAGCAAGCTTCAAACACCCTGGACAGGTCTGGACACTTCATTGCAGACATTCAGAAAAAAGACCTGTCCCGCTCACGACAGGAGTTTACTACTCTGAAAGGTTGCCAAAGCTATAACCCTTTTGTATTTTGTTGCAACATTTGTGATAACTGCTAATGTACTGCAGGTACTGGGGTTTTTATCTCCAATAATCTTGGGATATGTACGTTAGCACATTTCTTTGCACATTTTAATTAAGTATTGACTGCGTTAACTTATCACATAAATTATCACAAATTGAGATTGATGGTAATTTCTTTGTAGTATGAATGTGTATTTCCGGTGGTACAATACAATCCACAACTGCTTGCATGTAATTGATTGGCCAATGCTGTGTGTTGCTACATGATGTCTCATGCATTTTGACAGGTTTAACCCTGGTTCCATCATAGCAGTGTCTGCTTCACATTGAAAACTCCTGATGGATTGTGACCATCTTAAAATCTTTATTTTTTCCAAAGGGATTCATGGTTCCCTGAGAATGAATCCCAATGACTTTTGTGATCCTGACTTTGCATGACTACCAAATTTACATTTTTGGCCACCAAGGATCGCCATAACGTTTGGAACAGACATTCATGTGCAGCTTCAGAGCCCATAAATTCATGGAACGACAAGATATTTTGTTTTTAATGACCCAGATTTCCTGACAATACCTGGAAAATAAAGTCTGTTTATTGCCTCGAGAAATTAATTTGTATACTGCTAATCTCAGTCTGAGTCGCTCCCGACCTCCTGTAGCTGTATTGCATATTTCCTTAAGAGTAAACACAGTGTTCTAACATTAACATGCACACAATGCCCAGTAACATGTATAGAGGAATATAAAAGTTAAAAATAGAAATTATGAAGTTACATTTATTAACTCGTAGATATTGTATCATACTGCAGAGTTTTAAGGTTTGCAGAGATGTGGAATGAACAGGCTCATGGTGTGGAGGAACTTTGAGAGGCTCTGGGGGCCTTGAGGCCAGCAGATGGAGCCTTCTCCCTGGCAGCAGGCTGCATCAGTCTGCCTAATGAGAGATGGCTCGGTATTACTGTAAACAAAAGACAAGGTTCTGCTCAGTGCCTTTTGGAAATACTCTGATTAAAACTGATCATAAAATAACACGCGATGAGCATTCTTGACATCATTCTTGACACCTGCACATCAGTATCACAGCATCATACCGTTACTTAAGTTAAATAAGTTTGAGAAAATATTTCGTTGTAATCAATCAATGCACCTTTTCGCAGTATTCTCTTTAGGGAGCTGAGTAAGAGCCCTTGTTGCTATGAGGCATTTGACCTCTGTGGGTGTGGTGGCTGGATTCCACTGCAAATCCATTGGAGTCAACTGCTCTGCCTTAAAGGTCACTGTTTTTTTTCTTTCTTCGCTATCGCCTTCCTCTTTATCTCCCGAAGGAAGTAAACACACCACTTTGTGACAGAAAACACTCATTGAGTGAATAATCACTACTGTGAGGTTCAGAACATCATCTTGTTGGTGTACAGTTCCAACAAAGACACTTTAGTCAACCTGAACTTCCTGTCTCAGCTCCATTTAAAGCACTGACTTCATACACCACCCGAAAGGTCAGAACGTGCACGCTTCCGGTCAAAGGGCGCAGTGCAATTAAGTCAGCTGCCTGGTTGTATAGGAGGCCAAATTAGAATAACATGGAAGCAATGAAGGGACTTGAGTGCAAGTCCGGCGAAGTAATTAATCCTAATTGGAGACGACATGTAAATAGTACAAAAAGGCATGTTCAGTTTGAAAAAGGATCGCACTGCTTTCTCCAGGCAGACCTCATTGAAGTCAATCAGAACACCTTTAATATAAACTATAATGAAATAAATTGTGATGAGGAGTTTCTCAACAACTTTTTGTAACTTAACATGATTTGACAATTGTGGTTAAAAAAGATAATGGATTTGTTTTTGCTTTTTTTTTGTATACCTCGGATCAGGTCTATAGTCAAGGTATAATATGTAACGTTTAATTGTTAACTCGTCTAAAAACAACTTTTCAGAGTTCGGTAATTTGACTGAAGGTAACAGTGGATGTATCACCTTTGACTTCTTCAGAGTTGCCTGCCAGAATGTGTAAAAAATTGACTTTGATTCAAATGTTGGGTTATATTTGTAACATATACTTTTTAAATCTTCATTGTTAAATCTGACTTCTTGATCTTAGGTTCTTAGAAAACCAAGCTGAGCAAACGTTAATTGGGGAACACAGTTTTTTTATAACTTTTTCTTTCGATTTATCACCTGGTGAATTTCTTTAGTAGAGGATTAGACCTTCGGAAAATCGAGCTCCTGGTAAAAACCTGTTGAACAAATGTTAAGTTATCTGATGAACAAGCTGAGCAAACAGACATCCTATGTCCGGCAAACAGCATTAAAGAAACAGTGATTTTTAACATAAACATTTTTTATTTAGCAAGTTCACCGGATTTATTTAACAGGTATTTTTGTTTCGGAAAGGAAGAGACTTCTGCGAGTTATGCTGCTCTCGGTAAAACCTCCTGAACATTTGGATCTTATGCTATCGGAGAAAACAGACGTCCTGTATCCGCCAAACAGCATTGGATAAACACCAATTTTAAACATAAAAACTGCTTCATTTAGAGTCAAATTGAATCATACAGAAAGACTCAGAGACAGTGTCCACTCAGTATTCTTCCCACTGTTGTGTTACTGTTAGTAATAGTGATATATGATATAACTTAAATCCACACACAGTGATTTGTGGACTGACTGGCAGATTGATGACCGTCTTTGTTGCTGATATCAGATCTGGTGTACCACACAGTGTGATGTCGGCCGTGTTCTGCTCGGTGTTTGTGGACAAACAGAGGTCTGCATGGAGCTGGTCAGCGGGGGGGGGCAGGTCAGCGGGATCCTGGGAACGAGACCTGCCTTCACTTGCTTCATGCTCGTCCACTGCATCAGAGTGTATGCCTTCTTGGTGGTATGACAAGCAGCAGAAGGTGGAGGAGGGGGTCTCGACCTGCCTCTTATCTTTTCCCCATTGCCAACATTAAACAATGGCTATCAGATGCACCTAGGTCATGAGTGTGGAAGATCTCATGTAACATGCCATGGATCCTGAAAGACCCTCTAATGTCTGGATCTGAGGTGAAGTAAAGTTCATTTAAAGAGGTGAAGAGTAACGACGTCTGGCACAATATAAAAGTCACTGCAATGTAAAATCTCAAAGACTATTTATAGATCTGAGAAGAAGCTAAGTGACTTCCAGGAATGGTTGAGCATTGAGGAGGAGGGAGAAACTGTATATTTTATTGGTTTAAGGACAATCTTGTGGCGCGATATCCCGAAAATCTGTCGGAAAATAGTGTAATCTGAGAGTAGATAGAAATAAAATTCCTTAAAGAGTCTGAATTTTGGCAGACGGCGTCTCTGCATACTCCACCATAAATGCATCACATATGTGCTCCTGCTCTGACGGAGCCTGGGAGGAACATGTCTGGAGGGGAAACAGTTAAAACTGACTCTGGGTGGCAAAGAGGCTGTAGTCAAAGTCAAAAACTAAAATGGAAAAAGGGACTAAAATGTGTTTTTAACTGCGATTACTGCTAGCTCTCAAAAAGGAATGTGACTGTATATCATACAAGTATAAGATGTACAAAGTCAAGACATTATCCAAACAGTTGCTGCATAAGAAGATACTATTCTAACCCTAAGGATAAGGATAAGACTACATTATTCTATATTTTACTTAGAATAAAAAAATACCATGCAAAGACAAACACCAACAATGTGTTAGTAATGTGTGTATCTCCCAGCCAATACTCAACCATTCACAAATACATTGTTTTATTCATACAAAATGCTTAGTAAATTCCATAAACGGTCAGAAAATATTTTTTGGAAGGGACTATTTCAAAAATAAAGGTGATGAAATCCCCGCTTGTTGAGTTGGGGCTTGGTCAGATCTCCCACAGTTATTAGAATCATTTTGCCATAAACTGTTACTAATTATCAAACTAATACTCTATTTATCTGTTGGGCACTTAAAACAAAGAAGGTGAAAGGTCACTGCCGAACAGTCCTCTGTGTGTCCCTGCTGCTCAAATCAGTATCCACTCTGTCGCAGACGCACACAAAGCTTTCCATTTAATTGCAATAACACATTTATTTCCTTGTTTCATTGTGCTCAAGCAGAGCTGTGTGCCAGGCACAGACGTGTGCACGAAACCACCCCCTGGTAATGGATCTGTGCAGCCATTGATTGTATTGGTTTGATGCTGACGCCGCTCTGTCTGAAGGGGAGGGGTCTGCACAGAAACCCCTTCTTTGGGGGTCCAGGAGCTGTTTTTTTTATGAATGAAGTGAATACCAGAGAAGAATCAACCACACATTCTCTCAATAAATCGACTGTCTCTTGGGGAGGAAGTTATGAAAATAAATGTTTTGTACACATTTCAATGATATTCCTCAGAATGTAAGTGAGCATTAAGTTACTTTTGCTTGCAGAGGTGAGTGTTGTGCAGTGAGAGCAGGCTGCAGGACCGTGGGAAAGGTCCTCCACGTAAGGCACTTTATTCTTTGTGTCTGTTGTTCTTGTGTAATTGATCTCACTCCACGTCCACGGCGGAGAGCTTCAAAGCCACAACACACTTTTTATGGCTGCACCATTCTACCAATTTAAAGTATTCTACACGTGTATCCCAAGACTACTTTCTGGGCATGGTTTCTTACACATTTCCCCAAAATCCAGCCTGAGTTATATATATCCAATAGATTTTAAAATCCAGGTTTAAATTAAATTATTAAAATGTGCATGTATCTACGTGTGTTCTGTGGGATAAGGTTTGGGTACAATGTTTTAAACAAACAGGCAATAAGACACAAGATTATTGAAAAGGCGGAACGTTTTATAAAAAACATTCACCTGAAAAGGCACTCTTCACATGGAGTTTGGACATTTTACATTTTAATTTTCAAAACATATATTTTCCTACAAAGCCTTGGCCTATGCCAAATATATCTTTGAAAATACACTTGGATCTTTTTGAGAAAAACTTCATTAGCAAAGTAATTCTTTAACCACATTATTTATGAGGGGTAGCTAAAGTTTTTAGATGTTTAAGTTATTAGTTATCACTCCTAAAACTAGGCTGGCCTAAATGTATTATTTACTTTCATAATGGCTACTAAATGTTGGAAAAGTCCTTGTTGATGAGTAGGCTAGCCTAACAGCGGCTACAAGCCATAACTGCTTCTTATTTCAGTGTTGAGGCGATATATCTCCCCAACATTAAGAAAACACTTCATATTTCACAGAGGTGAACTCTGAATGGCTGTCCAGTATCCGACAGCAGCGGATTCCATTAGAACGTGTGAAAATTTGAATTTAATTCATAAATGCGGCCTGCCATGTCTGGCCTGCTGCCAGGACTCCGTCTCCTCGTTGTTTTCTCTGGCTCTCTTCCAGACCCCCCTCCCCCGCTCGTGTTATCCACCCACGGGAGAGGTGATTTCTTTCTTTTTTTCCTCCTTCTTCTTCTTCTTTAAAAAAAACAAAACCCATCCTCATTGAGTGGGTCCTGGTTTGGGAGTGGGCTGTGGATGCGGTTATTATGCCCACACTTCTCAGACGAGCCGTGCCGAGTTGTCACGCCTCGCTGCTGCATGGTCCTGCCCGGTGCCGCCGCGGTGTGTTGTAGCCGACTTTGAGTCGCAGCCGCTCGGCGTCTCAGGCTCCGCCGTCCCCGGTGCTCTTTCTCCTGCTCACTGAGCCAAACCTGTTTATTTTAACGGCTTCAAAGCTACTAGTCCTGCTGCTGCCCGTGGGAGACTTATTAAGCAGACAACATACCTTTTAAAGTTTTTTTCGTGACGTTTCTAATCACCGGGAGAACGGAGGAGCTGCAGCACCGGGAACCATGAGCGGACACGGGGACGAGGCCGAGGAGGGCTCCGGCTCCCAGGAGCCCCCGGGGGCCGCGGAGCCCCTGAAGAGGAGGCCGGGGAGACCGAGGAAGCCACAAAAAGTAAGTTGTGTCCCGCTGCTGTTTACTGAAGCCGCTTTGCAGATACAGACGTCCAGTCACTGCAAGAAAAAAACAATCAAATCCAGATTGTAGAATATCTGCACACCGAGATGTGACTTTTTTTAAAGTTATCAAACTGCACAAATGGCATATTCTTTTTTTTAAAGTGAGCTGACTTTGTAATTGATTGGTACAGGGTGTGCTTCTTGCTTATAGCTTGTTTTCAGTAGACTATGCTTTTCTATTTGTAAAGGAAGGTGAGACATTGTTTTTCCAAACATGCTGATAGTATATGGGACATGCTAGCCAACTTTATGTATGCTAAATTAACTTCCATACACTTAATCTTTCCAGCTTTGGTCTTGATCTTTAATTGACAACAGTCAAAAGTAAAATATGTGAATGAATGTGATTTTGCAGATCTTCTTGAGTTGAATCAGAGAAGTCATGGCAAGTGAGGGCTTTGAACATGTTTCTGTGAATGTGTTTATAGACTGGTGAGTCACATTCCAACCCAAATGTCAAACCAAAATCACCTCCATTGACACTGCAGGCTACAGTTACTGTAGGAGAGAGAAAGCCCTCAGAAACACAGCAGCCAGTATGTATGTAGAGTGAGAGTTAACTATAATATATATTAGACATGTTGAAACACCATGAAGTGCACAAGGTGATAAGGTTATAGAAATACTGATGGCAAATTGTGCAGTTTGAGTGTGAAATTGAAAAGTGGAAAATTTGAATGAATACCAAATCCCTCTCATTCATTCCCTCTATGGCCACACATAAGCAGACACAATGTGCCACACACACTCACACACACACTTTGTTCCTCTCTTGGTCTTGACCCATAAAGCAATGACCAAATGGGGGGGGGGGTTCAAAGCTTTGTTTCCTGTCCACCACCTATGTCATGTCCCCCTCCCTTTCAGGAGCCCAGTGGAGAGCCTGTCCCCAAGCGACCGAGGGGCCGCCCCAAAGGAAGTAAGAACAAGGGCCCCTCCAAGGCAGTGCAGACGGTAAGGAGCCTCAGCACCTGGAGGACGCATACGTTTGCCAATGCAATGTACAGTTTTGATAACCAAAACATGGCTTCAGGAGTTAACATGATCAATAACTAAATATAGTTTTACTGAAGTAACCACCTGTAGTATTTATTAATATGTTTTTAAACAGGGTTGATTTTCCTTGTTAATTTGAAAAAATAAGCAAAAACTGTCCAAAATGATGAGCAAAAATGTCTTGGTGCAGCCATCATTATTATTAACACTTGTGTACATAGAGAGGAGACTGTGTGATTGAATACGGAAAATAATTAGGGTCTTTTTTAATATTTAAATTGGGATTAAAGTCAGAATTTTGAGGAAAAAAAATCTGAATTCCAAAATGAACGTAATAAAAAGAGAACATTTTTCGTAATAAAAAGAGAACATTAATGTCTGAATTCTGACTTTTTTTTCTCAGAATTCTCACTTAAAGGTGGGGTAGGTAAGTTTGAGAAACCGGCTCGAGATACACTTTTTGTTATATTCCATGGAATGCTCTTAACATCCCGATAGCAATGAATATCTTAAGTGCTTTGACAAAAAATCCATACAAAAATGTCATCTGTGGAAGCCGTAATACTGTAAAAAGCACGACCAATCATTTTAGCCGGGCCGGCTAAAATAACTGGATGGCCTACCTGCCTGTCAGCCTTCCATCTGTGCACAAACTTATCTCGTGCCCTCATTGGTCATGTGCGCGTTTGTGTGTGTTGGAGGAGGGGCTCTGTAAGGAAGTAGCAGTTTTTTTCCGGCTGTGTATTTTCAAATTCTAGCGCACTCGAGCTGGTTTCTCCAAAATGACCTACCCCACCTTTAAATAAATAAATAAATCACTTGTGTTCAGCTCTAAAAAAAAATGTGGCCCTAATCCTCTTCAGTACATGAGAGATTGAATTGATGAATGAGAAAAGATTACGTTTGCAAAGAAAAGATGATCCTGGAGAAACGCTTTGGAATTTCACAGCCATTTCCCACCTTTCTTACTTGTGGTTTGTGATACTGGCTGTGTCTTCATTCATTAGTTATATGAAGCTGTGTTAGGCTCATGATGACAGCAGCCTTAGTGCTCCCTTGCCACCATGAACCACTGTAAACATTCCCAGCACTTTGAAAAGTGAACCACTCTGCTCTCGCCATAATCCAGTCTCATCTCATCTGGTATTGTTATGATAAACACAGAAGATATCAATCTTCCCAGATCAAAGAGTCCCGGGTCAGCCCACACCTTTAACTTATACTCTTTTAAAAGTTCACTTCCCCTGCCCACATCAATCACCTCTGCAATCTCTGACAGGTATCAAGTAGAAACAATTGTACTCCACACCTGCACGCCACAAAATAAAGACTACATTGACATAATCCTGGAAAGAATAAGGCTGAGTTTTTGGGTAGGAAGCTGGAGTCAGCAGAGCATCAGCCGGATTGGTCGTTTGTTGAAACACTTTAAAATACCCCCCCCCCTGACAAGGCTCTGTGAATAATGACAGTTGTGCCATTACTTCCATTAGGATGTCAAGGTGGATGGGTTGAAGAACAAAGAGTGTGAAAGCTTCAAGGTCCTAGGAAATGGCGTCTGACCTCTTCTGTATGGCCACAGTCAAAAGCAGACCAAAAATACTGCGTTGTTATAGCAGTCATGACCTAATAAATTGTAAAAATGCTAACATGCTTAACAACAATATATACAGGGTATGGTTGTAGACCCTAAGTCTTCTTAACATGCTGCCATTGCTAAAATTGAAGTCTTACCTTGAAACCTTGTGACATCATCAGTTGTTTGTTTACATTCCTAAATATGATCTATTTTGTGGCATTTTTATACATCCCAAAAACATTGTAAGGAGGTGTTCTGGGTAGATTGATCAGTCAGTTAGTGTTTGCTTCCCATTTCCTACCAACAATCAACATTTGATGTGTTTAACCATCAACTGTCCCTTAGCTAAGTGGTTCTCTTCTTCAGTAGTGGCTGCACAGAAAATGATACTATAACACTTTTAGTAAAATGTGATTGTACTGGCGTGAGATCCCTGGTTATTCAGTGCGGCCGCATCTCTCAGCTCAGACATGTAAAACACACTGATGATTAATTGAACAGGGAGTTGCGTTTCAGACAATTAAAGCTCTGCATTAAAAATGTAGCGTCGCAAACAGAGAACTGGGATTACAGCACACAGATTGGCGAGCCAGCAGTGTGATGTGTCATGATAGAGACCTGCATTAGCAGAGCATTAGAAACTCACAACACAAGATATCACTATTGTGTCGTCGCTTAATAGACTTCTGTTTCTCTTAAATAGGTGGGGGGTTTAACCAGTTTTAATTTAACATGACAAAACTGAGACTGAGATATTTTTTGATCCTTACTGTGAAATACAAGTACTTCAAACTCGAATCAAGCACTATTGAAGTACCTCGATATAAAATAGTTGACTTTGATCCTTTCCACCGCTGGTATTGTGTGAAAACTCCCAAAACTTCCGTAAAAGCCACTTATTTCTTACAACTAACTGAAAAAGTAACAGAATTGATCAGATTCTACCATGCCTGCGAGTTGTTAAAAATGTATAGTTGTAAGATTTTAGGTCATTTCTAAAGCCCAGTTTACCTGTGAACAACAAAGTGTGAGCCAGTGTTTCAAAAACAGATACAAAATGTATTTTACTATGGGTTATGGATAAATTGTTTCGAAAATATATCATATATTGCCGTATGATACTACAATTGCAATATGATGCGGTATTGGAGGTAATCATTTCGCCACATCATTTTCTGTAATTTTATTATTTTATTATTATTTTTAATGATGGTGTGGTTTTGAGAACCAAACACCATCTCAGCTGCTCCCAAATAATTGTTGATGTTGACACCAATATGGAAATATTGGACCTAATATTGTTCAGCACATTCTTTGGGGTGACGATGTGCTGAAACACTCCTCCTGCTGCGTGGCATTTACTCAACACCTCCAGTGATACCTGCTGGTCATTCTCTGCAAAATGAATCGCAACTCAGCAATTTGACTAAGATTTCACCTGACCAAATAGAGCCAGGGTGGCTGCATATATTCAATGAATTATTGATACTCTGGTCTTTTTAAATGTAAGAGAATGCTCTGTAGACATGCTTGATTTAATAACTTGGGCCCGAGACCTGGATACATCTCACAGCTTACAAAAATAGAATTATATTTAAATAATAAAACCAGCCTTCCACTGTACTGTAGTTTCTATCAAATATGACTAAAACAGGAGAAAATATTGTGTCTGTGGGAACTATTTTTAGCGGTGGATTAATCCAAATTTGGCATTTTAGTGTGTCTTATACTAATACTTAACTTAATACATTTTTATACCTAAAGGTTAATTGCGCTTTATGAAAATGTTTTGTAATTTGGGACATCATTCCTATCAGCCATGCTAACATTGTTTTCAACAAGTGAATACCTGATATCTTGGAATACAGTGATAATGAAACCAAAACAAGTCCAGAAACATGAGCAACCACACGATCGAAAACAAACCCTGGATTAGTAAAAAAAAAAAAGGGTGCACATTTTTTTGTAGTAAATGTATCAGTTGAAAGAAGCTCTGATTTAACTTTGACCTTCTGTAGTGGTGTTGACCCTAATGCTTTGAGATGTCTGCTAGAGTAAATGTCTTATCAGGTGTTTCCAATGTCACGATAGAATGATTTATTGATCCTAATCTATGTCTTAACAGAAAGCCGAGGCAACCGGGGAGAAAAGACCCAGAGGGCGACCGAGGAAATGGGTGAGTCAATGGTTTTCGTAAGCTTGTGTCTACTGCTGGCATACTGGATACTGTATTATATAAATAAGGGGTTATGTTATGTATGTAGGAAAAAATGTCCTTCCTACAATTACTTTTAACTATGATTCAAACGCATTTTGTTCCCAGCATATAATATGCCGTTAATAACTGTGTAATATATACCTGGCTGCTAAATCCTGAGAACTGTTACAGGATGTGTATTTTGAAAATTATTATATTTTTTATTATATCATAACTTAGTACTTTTTTGAATGCATGTAACATATGTAACATATGTAACATTAAGCTGTCTGTGGCTCTTTTTCCTGCTGTAACTACGCACATTTCCCCTCCGTGGGACTAATAAAGGTATTCTGATTCTGATTCTGATATTTAGATGGGCTGTTTCTCAATGTTGTTGTCATCTTTGTTTTCTTCATGTAGCTTTAATACATTCAGAGGTTCCTCTCTGGTTGATGCCGGTGTCCGTGTGTTCGTGGATATCTCCAAAGTGTTTGTGTTATCAGTCAAAGAAAATGTTTACTCTCAGCGCCGGCACGCAGGAATACTTAAATAATTCCACTGACAGCTTGAAGGCCTCAGTGTTTATCAGCTCCAAAGTAACAGGCTTGATTGATAGTGCAGGAACAAGCAGCCGGCAGTTAGAAGTGCCACCAGGAAGGGCGAGGAGAGAGGCGGGGAACTTTCTCCTGCGTACAGCATGTCTGCATTATTACGGTCGTCAAAAGAGGAAAAAAGAAATGGAAGGAATAGTGTCTTCCAAGATTAAGCAAAAAGCATTTTTAGTTATTCTTCACTAACCAACTTCTGCTGGTTTACTGGCGCATGCTCTGGCTGAGACTTATCAGCTCCGAGCGGTGGCTTCAAAAGCAGTACGCTGCGTTCAAATGCATCGTAATCCTCAGCCTCTATCCTCAACAAGACATCTCTATAACAAATTATAACCTTACATGTAATGTGTTTTAATCTGCCTATATCCGTGTATATATAAAAATAATGACATTTATAAAGCAATTTATAAGGTCACATTTCAAACGGCGCAATATTTAAAAGTAACACAATGGCTTTTTAAAAAACATATCACAGCGTATTTTAGTTCTCATAGTTTTATTACGTTTTATAATGTATTATACCCACTGTTATAATTCATAATGCTGTGAATATAAGTCAATCTAAGGGATAATTGTTAGCCTTTTAAAAATATAATTAAATAACCACATTGAAAACATTGTAACATTGACTTTGACTTTTCTGTTTTCATTCATAATATTATATTACAGCTATTGTAAATACGACTATCTGACTTGCATTCACCACAAAATCCAAATGGTGAATACAAGTGCAACAGAGATTTTTCTAATAACTATGATGTATTTGAGTTGGCAATAAAAACCTTTTCCTCACCTCAAAGTTCCTGACCTCTGCCAAAGTTGTAAACATGGGATGTTTTCTCTTATCTAAAGTACATCAATACTACTCATCTCCTTGGTTTTAAAATGTGCAATGAAAATCCAGTCCTCAATAGGTGGAAAAAACCGCACTGTATTGAATGTATTACATTCTTTAAGTCAGTATAAAGGTCAATGAAAAATGAAGCCCATTAAGCAAGTCATGGCAAGTATTTAAGTTCAAGTGGATTGAGAGCATCGTAAAGTGTTGGGAAATCATTTTTAGTAGATATCTAAAAAAAAAGGGGGTGTACAGCCTTGTGAATATCAGTACATTTGAAAGTACTTCTATCAGGCCCGTATTGTGTTATGTCAGAGAACACAACACCAATACTTCAGTTTCTCAACCAGCTGCTGAACCCTTGGACTGAACTGATAAAGCAGTGGAGGTTTACTGCAGCTTTCTCTTTGTGGTGCTGCCTGCCGGTGCCTGCATGTCCCGGGTACACACACACCAGTACACACACACACCAACATCCACCCACACAGCGGCCTCCATTGCTTGACGTCAACTACAGAGAGGCCGCAGTGCAAACTAGTCAGTTGTGTACTGTAGATAGCGTACCTTTGTGACTGCCGCGGGGCATGTGCTGACACCCCTTTGACAATCAAAGCCTCTGCCTCACAGCAGCCTTCTGCTATATATGGGCAAGGAAATGTTTAACTAGAACAGCAACCTTGCAGCAGGATCATTAGGGTCTCTTGCTGTTTTGTTATTGCTTAGTTAAAGGGGCCTCTGCTGTCACATGTTTACATGCTTTAATGTTCTGCAGCACCTCTTTTCGTCTGCTCTGATTGGTTAGCCGGCTGGATTTGTTATGATTGGTCAAACGCTTAGAGATGTCCCACCCCTTACCTATCACATACAATGTGTTGGAGCGCTAGCCAATAGAAGCGCGACTGTTACATAGTGATGTCACTATGTGTACGGAAGTAAACAAAGGAGTCCAATTGAGGCACTATATAATACACTACAAGGAAGGGAAAACCCCCAAAAGCAAAATAGGGCCCCTTTTTAAGGAGTTGAGTTGATTACCTTTAATTATACGAAAGAGAAACTGATTTCTAGCTCAGGAACAGTAAAAAGAAATGCATTAATACGTATCAAAGCACATAAGACTGCATATATATATAATATCATACAGGCAAACAGGGACAAGAACACATTGACTGAGAGAGCTGATTGACCCTGGACAGGTTCCCCAGTAAAACTACTTATATCTTATATTCCTACAGCTAGCAGGAACTACTAGGACTGGTCAGACCTGACTTATGCGGACTGGTCCCTCATCGGTATGTCTCGTTGCTCGTCCACTGTAGGGATGCAGGTCCTGTCCTCTGTGCAGGTGCTGAGATGGATAGGCAGCCCTCTGCCAAGCTGACCAGCTTCCTCTGCTCGTAAAAGCTTGAAGGGGGAGTCTCCGCTCTCCAGTAGTTTACATTCATCAGTTGTACATAGCAGTTCCCCCTTTTCTGCTGCCAAATGGCGACTGTCATTGGATGTGTTGGTTCCTCTACAGGCAAGATAAACTCTTTGTCCCTGTGTTAAGCCGTGTTGCAGTACAGCTTCGGAATTCTTAACAACATAGGCTGCCTATAGGTAAAGCTTTCTGAGAAGGGAATATCACAGTAAAAGCTTGAACTTGAAGACTTCTGTGTTTAAACTGAATATCGTTTGTTCTTCAAGGTTTTAACAGACTGCTTTGGTTAAAGGTGCAATGTTTAGTTTTGTTCGGCATGTTCATAGTAAACCTCTTCATTTTCTGTTGGCGAAACTTTCACGCCCTATCATTGCTGGATATAGGACGCATACATGTCATGGAGTCGCGTGAAAGATAAGATACAAGAGTGTACTCCATTCAAAAACATCCAGTTTGAGTTTTGGTAATTTTTATACCCCTAGCACTTTTGATCTTGAATCTGAGAAATCTCAAAAAATATATATTTAGTCTTTTTATGTTTTTTGATTATACACCTCAATGCAATAAGGCTGAATGGTATTCCATTGATGCTCCTCAAAGTATCAAACGCCAGATGTAGTTGAGATTTTAATTCAGACTAAATTCTCAGGTCACAAAAGTGGTGATTGTCATACGTAGACCAAGAGAGGGTCATTCTGCTGCCATATAAATGAGACTTAGAAACATGATATAATATTTTAACTAAGTATCCCTGCTACACTTCATTGGTACTTGCAACATTTGGGCAATGCTAAACAGGAATTGTGCAATTTGTAAAGCAAAGCCATGAAATAAGAGAAAATATAATTCTGCTTCTCTATTTCTGCTTCCTTTATCATTGGTCAGCCAGTGAATGTTTTGAAGCCAAACCATTTCCTTGCCCTTGAGCTGTCTTGCTGCCTCCCATACAGCTGCCTCTTTGTGTTTGATTCTCCGCAGTCACATCCGAAGTTACTCACCGCCAGGACACACTCATACCCATCTCCCCTTTCTGTGCCCATGCAAACCCTTATTGGTGTTAAATGGAGTCTACTGTGAGACTAATAGCCTCCGCGTCAAATGTGCGGAAATGACTAAGTGAATGGGCAACGGAGCACAAGTGCAATGGCATGAGTGTGTGTAAGGGGAGTTGATATAGTGTGAATGGGAGAGGTCTACTCCCACCTCACACAAGGCTCTGCTGCTCTTGGCTTCGGGTCAAACACCGAGGGCAGGTGCCAGGCAATGGAATCGGAGGAGAAGAAAAGTAAGGAACTCTGGCAGAGGTGATGAGCAGCATGATTAGGAGTTTGTCCAGCAGCTTTGAGAAAGTGGCGAGGCCTGGAAGGTCCTCAGAAACAAGCAGCCTGTGAAAACGTCTCTCCTTTGAATGCATGCATGTGTGAGGCAGGGGTAATTGTCCAATTGTGTCCGACATTAAAACGCTTTTTATAGCATTGGCAAGCCTCACAAAACAAACGTATGGAACTTGGCCTCCAGGGTCTCTGGGCAACAGATTCACCCGGAAAGTTGGTGTCCAGAGTGAATCAGGGGCCGAATCAGGGCTGTGGTGTATCCAAACAAGTATTTACATTTATACAAAATTCATGAAAAAGCGAATTCTTGACCTTTTTAAACGTTTGTCCAAATAATCTTAACTCAAGGTCATATTAATCACATTATTTATTATTGATAGAATAACTGGCTTTAAAGAGTCGTGCAGTGATGGGTCCTAAAACACAGAAAACACAATTTTACCAATTCCAGTTCCCTCGTATTGAAATCAACAATTTTTTTAACGTGTATTTGGTTACAAGCCTGAAATAAGATCTGGTTAACACGAGCTGAAAAACATAAAATACGTCATGTCCGAAGCCTCTATGTGTAAAAAAAAAATACGGCGGTTGCTAATAAGCAACCAAATGCAACTACTAAACGTCATCATGCTGGTTTTATCTTAGCGGCTGTGATGCGTGGCAATGCGACTGTGGTGTACATTGTTTATAGCCTAACGATAGTTTTTATATCTATTGGTGGTGTCAATATGTTGAGATTATCCTGCTGAACAAAATGTGTATCATGAATATGTGTG